GCTGAGGGAAGAGAAATTTCAAGGACTTTAGGGTATAAGTAGTGCCAATAGCTTCAAAGAGATCAAGCAAGCAGAGAAACAAAAATAAGTCTTTGGTCTAGTAAGTGTATAATTTTAATCTTTAGGAGAATAGTTTCATAAGAATGGAAATATTCCAAGAAAAGCTAAAGATAGCATTCAAAGGAGTGACTCCTCTGTGACAACCGCAAAAGTGTGAGTCACCGAGAGTCAGACTGGATTTGGAAAGGAACAAAAATGGACACCAATGAGTGCTCACTCTTGGGCGCTGGAAAAGGAACTTGAAATAAGAAGCCATAATATTAGATAGACCAGAGGAGTGAGAGCTGCTGTTTCAAGGGGTCAAAATGAAAAGAAGTAAATTTGGACTTCTGGGAGTAAGACATCTAGGTTCAACTTATATTGAAATAAGAACAGATGTGACTAGAAAGGGTATTTAAACTTCTCTAAAGCTGAGTGGCAGGTGGTATAGAGGTGACCAGTTTGTAAACAGAACGGATCATCACATTTTAATGGAGGTACTTTGAGCTCTATCTCGGCTCTAAGTCATGGCAATCACCTTCCTCGGTGGAGAGAATGACAAAATGCCTCCTTTCACTTACATTGATGTTCAATGAAAGTATTGAACCTCTTTATAATTTGGATCACACACCTGAGGGCTTTTCACTTGACGGCATCAATTTTTGATTGCACATTAGGTGTTTTGTCATTGAGAACACGTTAATCTGTCTCCTCCCTCAGCTCCATAGACACTAATCGGTGACTTTGTATGGTCTCAAGTCCCACTTAACATTGACATGCTGTTTGTGTGACCTGGCTTTAACTCCTTAAAAGGAAATTCACGGGAGTCTTCCCTTGAGCTGTCATTATTGTAAAAACTAAGGATGTGGTCGCCTCTCTAATTCCTTTGCTTTTCCTAGGGTCTCTGTATCCAGCAAATGTATTAGTCATCCTTCACTCCTCACTTGCACACACCTACTGGATGTCCTGGCCTCTAGTCAGAGATTGCTTCTCTTTGAAATCCATCATCCATAAAGTCAAAGACAGGCCCTAACCTGCCATGTTTTCATAATAACCCCACCCTCTTGGCTAAGGTCAAGTTTTCCAAGAGCATATTCTTAAGTAAAACAGGATCTTTTTTTCTTTTTAATTTCTGGTTTCTGGATTTGTAGTCTAACATGAGAGAAAGTCAAATTGGTCCTTCTCTATGTGGCTGGAGGGCTGACACCTCAGTCTGTTGGGCTGTCAGAATAGTTATGACGCATTTTTGCAACGAAAAACAGAGAGAAAATACGTCATGACTTTTCCGACAACCCAATAGAATCTTCTTCTCACTCTGAGATCTAAAAAGTGGAGATGACAATAAATAATAAAGAAGAGGAGTGGGGCCAACAAGGTAGAAAAAGAAATGTTGTCATGTCAAATCATCCATGTCATGATTCCAGGACTTCATTCCGGTTTGTTCTTGAGAAAGTCCTGTGCTCTTCTTTTGGGGTCCCATGGGCTACACATTTAGCCTTGCAACAAACTCCCCATTGGCTTAATGAGCTCTGGTTAGCTTTTGTTATTTCAACCCAGTATACCACCTGCTTCCTGGGTTGGGCCCAGGGCGAGTTTGTGCATTAAGACTAGCTAATATTTAACACTGTGGCTTCACTGCTGGCACAAAGATAGATGGCTGAATCCTGCAGCTCCATATCCTGGATCTCCAGGCTACAGGGTGAGTTCTGGGGACACTTAGCTGAAAATCTCTTCCCGGGCAATGCTGTTTCATAGACATTTTGGTACTGGAAGGAAACCAAGAACTTGAATTCTTTTGCCAGGATCTGTTGGTACCAGTAAACATAATCGTGTCCCTTCTTTGGGACACACTTCATTGTCACATTCTGGCCTTTCCCTGTGATGAGGTGCCCTGGAGTCTGGGTGACATCTGCATCAAGGGCACCTGCGGAGAAAGCAGACAGAAGTTGGAGACTTAGCCCCTGAGGGACTGTGAGGGCATAGATGAAAGGATTAGAGCAGGGGACTGACACGTTCAGAGTAGGGACTTACCTGCGCCCAGGAGACCAAGGGCCATGGAGCAGATGAATATAGGGCACATGGCAGAATTAGGAAAAGGGCAGAGGCAGGTGGCTTTCTCTGAGGCTTTTGCATCCCCCGCAGGCCGCTAGTCTGTGACGTGATCACTTCCTAGAATCCAATAGTCTTTCTACAAAGACATCTTTGCTTTTGTCACAAAGGAATCACTCTTTTAGATGCCATCTTCGGCTTTTTCATGGAATATTTCCATTCTATGTACCCTTGTGAAACTATTCTCATTAACATTAAATACTTACTAGAGTAAACACGTATTTGTTTCTCTGCTTGTTTGATCTCTTTGAAGCATTTGTCCACATTGACTATCTCCGAAGTCCTGGAAATTTCTCTTCCCTTAGCTTCATTCACATTGTTTTCAATTAAGTTTCGTGTTTCCTAGTTCGTCCTTTTTTTAAAAATGCACTTTCCAGAACCCACATCTATCCATTAAATTTAGGATCGTGCTCTGAACAAGTAAATAAAATAGAACCTGTGAACCAACTATGCTCAGCCACTGGAGAACAGTCAGCACAGGTCTGTGATTCTTCTAAAGCAAGGAAAAGCGGGGCCATGTCTACACACCATGAGGGATGGGGAAAACAGAGCACGGAAAATGTACTAAGTTGAGGAGATAGAGGCTGAAAGATAGAGGGGACAGAGGCAGCTAGAATGTGTGAGGAAGACTACCAGAGAGGAAAAAGCTATACAAAGAACTCCAAAAATCTTCATAAAAATCAGAATGAAGTTTTGTCTCAACAGTGATCTATGCCTGTATAGGATGAAACTTTAAACAACATTAGAGAGGAAGCACAGAACAGATATTCACCAGCCTCCCCGGAATGACCAAGCTTTAGTAGTGGGACCAAAGGGACAACACTGGGCTAGAGCAGGAGCAGGCAAATGACAGCCCAGGGCCTGGCCACCTGTCAGTGTACAACAGTTTTATTGGGGTGAGAAGTGCTTCCAGAATGACAGCATAGGGAGTTTTGAATAGTTTTGAATAGCCTCATTCCCGAGGAAAAACATAACTGCTGAACATCTAGACACAACCACTTAAAGCCTCTGAGAATGGTCTCAAGAGCGTACAGCCAATGGAGAAACAGTTATTCAAGAAAATCTATGAAATCTCGGTAAGAACAGAAAGAGTCTGTGGCATCTTCTCCCTCGTCACACCTTCCAAGGCCATCCAGGTGTAAGAACCAGACAGAGAGCTGAGCGGCAGAAGCACCTACATCTCCAGTCCCCGGTTTCTTTAATCTGGGCTTGGAATGAGATGAGTCTGTGCTGGTCATTTCTCCCTTTCTTCAAAAGGATGGCCAGTGTTCACTTAATCTAAAGAAGCTCTAATATTCCCCCTGGTGGAATTCTTTGGTCGTTTCACTCAAGATGTATGATTCTCTAGACCAGATCACAGAACCATAAAATATGAGAAGAGGTCCCCAGAGAAATCTAGCCTCAACATCTCATGGCACAGAAGAAAAAATTTAAGTCTAGGCAGGTGAATAAAGAGACACAAGTTTAATCATTTGTGGAGGGACTAAGAGGGGTGTAGATGTGTGGTGAGCAAAAGAGACAAGAAAAACAGAACTTTGAAGTTAGATGGGTGGCCCAGTTTTTAGCGTCTCTGATTTTTACTTAAAATGACCAGAACTGGATCTTGGGTAGTGCTTCGTGGCCTCTTGATGAATGAGTTGGAAACATGTGATATTGGTGGCTATATGTGGTGACGTATAATAATACACTATTGCTTAATGGGAATATCTACGTGTTCTTCAAAATTGAAGTGAGGACACAGTCTCACCCTCTGAATCAGACAACTCATAGCTAGTAGATGCCAATTCCTTCTTGCTTTGATGAACTTTATTCATTCATGCATCCATTTATTCTATTGGTCATCATAAATATCTCAATCTAATAGTTAAATATGTTGTGAATAGTGCATGCCCCAGGAAATACATTTGTCTTCAAATCTGGGGCAAGCTTTCAGTAGTTCTAATTTCCTCCCCCTTGATAAGAAAACTGTGAGATGGCATGAATATGTCTGTGAGGGCAGGTTCTTCTCCTGAGGGCAAGAATTCATGGGAGTGGGGCCCCCTCTTGCCTGGACCTGCCCTTTGATGTATTGCTAAGTCTCCAACTTAGATAAAAAAATAAAAAAAAAAGGTAAAAAAAGTTGCTATTTTTCTACTGAAGAGAACAGAAGGGGTGATTAAAGTAATTCTGGGAAAATACCACAAACTGAATGTTGGGTAAGTAGGTGTAACCACTTTTCCTCTCTTGGCATAACGGTCAATGGTTTTTGTAGGTTTATGCCCAACTTCTATCTACAAAGGAGATAATGACCACCAGAAAGCCACTTCCTATTGTTGTTGTAGGAGGGAGGTCTAGAGCAGACGCTGGGGTCTGGGAAATAGAGGTTTATGAGCAGAAGGGTGGTCAAGTTCTAGCTCTGTGCCTCTACTGCTCGCACAGAGATACACGGCGGAGTCCCCCACACCTGGCGAGCGGATGTCAAGAGAACAGAAGGAATCGTTAACCCGGCTGGGTTGGAAGTTGTCGGAGGTGCCTGTTTCGTTGGTCAATTCTTGATCATAGTAGTAGAACAGCAGCTTTGGGGCTTGGCTTAGCTTTTGTTGGTACCAGTACATGGTGTCATGATTCAGGTGCTGGGAACAATTCAGGGTCACTGGTTTTCCAATCCTGGTAACCTGGTATCTTGGGTTTTGGGTGACTGTGGCACCCATGGGACCTGCATAGACAGATGGAAAAAGAGAGACAGAGTCAAGAAGGGGACTGATGCTGCTGCCATAAAAGCCAGGCAGAGAATGGAGGACATGATCGTTTCAGTGCAAGTTAATCTTTCTGACAAGGACTCACCTGCTCCAAGGAGACAAAGGGCCACATAGTGGAGAAGCCTGGGACCCATGGCAGGGCCAGAGTGGGGCTGAGGCATCTGCCTACTCTAGGCTCTGGGTTGGGCGGTGGGAGTTCCGAGATTTACTGGTCCCTGATAGGTTGATCTGCCCGTGATGACAGTGCTGCTGTTGAGGTCACCAGGGCAAGATTGTCTGTTCTTGTGATATTATACACAGCTGCCCAGTTAGCAGCGAAGCCTGGGCTTGGCTGGTCTGGTACGGAGCAGATGTGGTGTTCCCTTATTTGCCCCTCATCCTGTATCCGCCCCATGCTACCCAGGCCTCTCCATCTCACTCCTCGTTACTTACATCCTGTAAGGCAGTTCATAGATTCCTCCACACACGAATAGCTTTTGCTAATGTTTCACTTATAAACCTGTTGAGATGCCTTTTTGTTTTGCTAGCCACATCACAGATGGATGACTCATGTCGGCCAACTAGCTCCCCCGTCCGCCGTCCCCTCACACACACACACACACACACACACACACACACACACACACACACACTCCTTCTTAATACAGAAATCAAGCCCCAGAATGCCTCTGTCTATATCCACTTTTCAGGGAGTATCAAGAAAATCCTCTACAAGGTTTGGCTGTCAGTGATACCATAATGCCTCCTTGTGGCCAAGTAGAAAAGTGTCTAGAAGTAGCCTTCCTACTAGCCCAAGGCAATCTGTGGTGAGACATAGCAGGGCTTAAACATGTATCGAGTCCAGCGGTTCTCAACCTGTGGGTTGCGACCCCTTTGGGGGTCGAACGACCCTTTCACAGGGGTCACCGGGTACTCGTATGTGGGCGTATCTGCATGTGGGCCTGGAGACGGATAGAGGAGCGGTGTCTCGGTTCCTAAGACCATCGAAAATATGTGTTTTCCAATGGTCTTAGGTGACCCCTGTGAAAGGTTGAGAACCGCTGATCTAGTCCTTCATTCTGTTCCTACTAGACCCGTACCCCTCAGACCAGCACAACCCTGGAGTACTGGCAAGCATCACTAAAAATAGCATGGCCCTATTGTGGCAACTGGAAGTGACCTCAGAAACATTCAGGATTGACTGACACACATCGACATATGGTGCTAACCCACGTTTTTTTTGTTGTTGTTTTTTTTTACGTTAAAAAGTCAGACCCGATGGAGAAAGGAAAATTAGCTTTAGTCTGTATTCATGGGTTACCTGGCTATTGCACTCAAAAATGAGATTTTCAAAAGTACTCAGAATGGATTTGTGTTGGACAAATGTCACTGATATCACTACCATTACCACCATTATCAGTGAGCAATTGACAAACCAGTAGTAAACGCATTTTTATCCACTATTCTGACTTCCACCAGCAGACTTGTTAATCTTCTGATAAGAAGGGTTATGAAGATGTGGCCACAATCAGAGTCACAATTCCTGTCAGATCAGAGCAGCGAGGTGGGCAAGCGACAAGCGTTCGGTGTTTTCCACCAGGATAACATGCACTTAGAAAATCAGAAATGGTAGGTTGAGTTCTGTGTAAGGAGCCCCAGGAATGCCCCAGATCACAAATGTCCCCATTCACATGTTCTTGAGATGCTCTTGCGAATACTGGTTCTTCCTCTGCTCTCCTCCTTGGGGCAGGGAGCACAGGGACTCTGTCTGCCTAGGGCTGCCATGGGTTGAGACGGGAGGGGAGAGGGCACGGTTTTGCACAGGAAGAATATGACACTGAAGCACTGTGTCAACGCTGCAGGCGCAGAAATAAACCGCCGAGTCCTCCAGCTGTGCAGTCTGAAACTTCAAGGTGGAATACGTCCCTTCAGTCCTTTCAGCCAAGAGCCGATCATTGGGTATCCCAGATTTATCCTGTATAGAGTCTTGCAGGAAGCGGATCAGAAATTTTATTTCTTTCCCCGCAGCACGTTGGTACCACAAAAGACTTTCGTGTCCAGAAATTGGGTCACATCTCAGAGTCGTAGCCTGTCCCTTCTCTATGATCCTGTGGCTAGGGGACTGAGTGACTCCAGCTGATATGTGTCCTGTAGGAAAGGACAAGAACATAGAAAACATGACAGAAATTGACTGGGAAAAGGCAAAGTGGAGATATTCAGATTTCTAAGGACTCACTTGCTCTCAGGAGACAAAGGGACACTAAGCAGAGAAGCCTGGAAACCATGGCAGG